AAATTATATATATATATATATATACAACAAAGAGTAATCTTATTATTATAATGATGTTTGCACAATGTATTAAATCCGATTCTGAATGCATGATTAACGTCTATTTCTGACTGACCATGCATCATTATTCCGAAATTAATAAGTAGTCGTGTATTCCTACAAAAATTACAAGAACAGTAAAACTATAAACTTACGCATATTTGTATGCAGATAAAATATCTTCTGTTTCCGTGGCTGTAATGTCTGTCATGATAATTAAAATGTATTACTATTGAACGGTGATACTGTGTATTACGTCATATCGCAATGCACGAAATATATATTAACGCTTGGAAATGAAAGAAACAAATAAAATGATCGAATGACCTTTTCCTTTAGAACCAATGTCCTTTGTTTAGAACCAATAAGAGGACAATCTTATAGCTATATACAGCTATAACTGCTGAAACATAATAAGAGTACAGTAGTATGAGTGATTTTACACGCACACGCACGAACACACGCATACGGACATGCGCACACACAGTGTCTTAGAATGAGGGACTATGGCTTTCCTTTTAAAGTCTATTGTCATGATACTAGAAATCGGTCCGAGATCTCGAACAGAGACGGAACTAACCAATCACATTTGAATAATTCGATAACATAACTAATGTGCAATTTGACAGTTCCTTTATCATCCGAGATCTCGAACTGATTTCTAATACCGTGCAGCATCGTGGACATAAGGTTTCAGAAACACATACATTATTCTATCTTTCCTGATATTCAATAAATAATAAAAATGAAACGACATTTGTATTAACTTTATGTCTCCTACTTAAGGAGAACAAGAAAATCAAAATAATCAATTTGAAATTATATTGATAAATTTATGTCATTTTTAAACCAATGAGAAATGACAATGGAACCGACATCGCATCGATGATTCCCTTGTTACTTTTCAGTGGGAATAAACTACGAATACGAATGTTTAAAAACGATTTTTGTTAAACATGGCAACGTACTAAACGCGGGTAATCTAATTCTAAATGATTAATTCGTCCATGCATCCGAGGGGCATTTCACTCTCGAGTCAAATAATTATCGTTGCTAGACTTTCGCTGACTCGCTCCTTATTTTCATTGGGAGTCCTTGTTTAACCTATAGGTTGAACAAAGATCTATCGTATAGGTCGCGGACTAAGTGCACGGTGTAAACCAAGCTGTTGATGCTGACTTCGTGCTGACTTAACGTTTTTAAACGCACCGACTCGTTAAGACTC